CACCAACAGGCCGGAGTGGGATGGAGGCTGCACCTCAACACATGATTTAAAAGGCAGGTCAGCAGCTCGTGATCTGACCTGGTTCAGGTACGTTAACTGGAATTAAGACGAAAAGTCAAGCCTGTAGGAAAAGGAAGATAAACTCTAGCATGATTGATTAATTAATCTCATACATATATATTTTTATTTCACATATCTATTCTCGACATTGTTATTTTTATTCTGTTTATATTCAGCTCTTTTTTTTTTACCTTGCACTACTGTTATATAGATATATATAGAGAGAGACATATTTATAGTTATAGTTTGCAGTATTTATTAATAAGTTATTGCCTCACAAGTGTCAGTTCCGTGTGCTCCGGTAGCCAAGCGACGACATTTCGTTGCCAGATTCACGATTGTGTTCTTGCGCAACGACAATAAAGAAAGTCTAAATGGGAGGCAGGATATGTTTTAGTAAAAATGTTCAGTTCCACTTCCTTTGATTCATTCAGACGCCTTCAGCATTTAAAGGTTTGATGAACCCGGAGGCTACAGGCTATATGATGAGACTTGATCTGTGTGAAGCAGCAGAGAGTTTACATCCCAGTAACAATAAAACCTCTCACAAAGCCCCAGGAGCTGCCCAGTAACTGCTCTACCTGCTGCTGGACCCCACAGGCTCTGCTGCCTCCCAGCACTCTGCTCTACATGTGATGCATGTATGACTCCAGCGCCGCGGTCGAGGCTGCAGCGAACTGAAACCACCAGCGTTGTGCCCAAGACGAGAGGCAGAATCTTAAGCTATTTATACGCCGCGGCCCAGAGAAATCCGATGCTGGTCTTTCCCACCGAGTGGGGAGGGCCGGAGAGACGGGGCCGAGAAACAGAAAAAAAGAAAAGAAAAGAAAAAAAAAAAGGAAGGAAAGAGTTAGAGGCAGTCTGGTAGAGGAAGCTCAGCGCTGGCTTCCTGCATGTCTGTCCTCCTGGGCACCAGTCGGCTCATGTGTTTGTGTGCAGCCTTCAACATGTCGCCCTGTTTGCTCACACGGCAAGTAAACGTATAGAAACAGCAGCCAGAGATGCAGAAGAGCTGCAGCTGTATTGCATATGTGCAGTCACACAACAAAACACAAGCTTTCTCCACACAGACACACACCAATATTAGGTGAGCAGTCTTACTTGTGTGTGGCCCAAAGCAGGGGTCAGAGACGGCAGGACCTCCAGATGTTTCCTATTAAACCCAGAGCTCTGACCAGACCTTCCTGGTCACTCGACTCTTTTCTGTCTCTCACTTCTCAGAATTAAGAAGGAAGGTGAAAAGCTGACAAGTCACACATTTCCACTGCTGTCTGTGCTGGACACCAAGACGTGGGTTGGTATGGTCCGAAAAAACCTGGCTGGCAGCTTTTAAAAAACAAACAACCGTTTTAATGGTTTTGAAGGAAAACCCCTTCAGTCCAGCAGGTATGGTGCCACTAACCATACTGCTAAGCCTTCATGTCAGGGGAAATCCAGCTGCCTGAATAAAACCAACAGAGCACTGTCCTGAAGAAAACCCCCACACATCTATGGAAATGATCACATCAGACACCAACAAGGGAATCTGTGGCGACAAAAGCTGGAGAGGAGCAGCAATCACAACACACTGGAAACTGAAAAGAGATCATCTTGTTGAAACGAGGCCGTTTCCACCCCGAGAGTTAATAGATTTAGAGTTTGCAATGATCACACTGAGCAAAAGGAATCCTCTAATCCCTCTTTTCACCCCCGGCCCTCCTCCCACCATCTCTACAGGCTTCACTGCAGCACATCGGAGGGATGAGCGGCTGACGAGACGCCGAGGCCAGATAACCATCTCTCCTGTGTGTCACTGCAATCGTTGCGATTGAGAAATGGTGCTGCACGGAGGTTCAGGATCCAGAGGGATGGGGGACAGCACGAAGGGAGGCGCAAAATCAACCAGTAATAGGATAACAGACAGCGATGCAGGTGGTCGGTAGTGAAGGGTCACTCAGTCGTCTACGGTTCAATCTGTTCCGTGGACACGATGCAAAAAACTGCACTGACAGCAGAAGAGGTTTGTTGGTGTGACACTGGCTTCAGAGAGTTTGTTGCTGTGGATGCACTCTTCTTCAGACACTGTTCCTGTGCCATGCTCGTTCTGCTGTGCACATAAAGAGTCTGCATGTCAGGAAACTCTGGATCTTGTATAGAAAATCTTTTTAAAAAACTACCCAGGAACACTTAAACCAGAGGTAATGATGTTCTATCAGACAGGTTTCTCTTGTAGGTTAGACATGGAACATGAGAAAGTGTGTGTTTAGTTTTGTAGCTTGATGTGATTGAGTGTATTTGCCTTATTTCACATTCCTGTCACGTGACTGTTGTGCACCTCACGATGTCAAAACAACACACGATGCCACAGAACACATGTTTTCAGCTACAGGTGCAGCTCACAAGTGAGGAAAACACCTCAACACGTTATCTCCATGTACATCTACACCACAAAGAAAGCACATAAAAACACCACAGATCCTACGTCAGCTATAAAAATGTGAGCGAGACTGAGAATCAGCATCACTATCATCACACAGTAACTCATCCAGCGCTGCACTCTAACCACTCACTCACTTCTTATCCTCCATCTCTGCCCCAGGATCTTCACACCCCAACATGCCCACCCCCGTTCTATATCTTTACTGAAACCATATGCTCTGAGCTCCCACAGCCAGACTTCCCCTATCAGCACCACACTGAGCTGCATGATGACAAAGCCTGGGTTCCCACAGAGGGAAGGGGAGCAGGCCCGGCTGGAGCCTAGACAGAGAACATGGGGGGGGGAGAGATCTGGACAGGGCCGGCTGTGGTGGAGGGGACTGATTTCTCTTTTTGTCTTGGATGTCCATGAATCCCTTTGGCGATGCACAACCCAGGTGGAGATTCACCGTCACACAGAGGAGCAGCATCAAGGCTTGTTTACGCAGAACTGTATGAGGGCAATAATGCATGTATGCAAGATGACACACAACCAGTCAGTGCTATATATCAAATAAACCCCCACATCATGAGCAGGAACATCAGAGATAAATCATTTGGCATAAAGGGCAATCCCTCTAAAGCTCATCCCCACAAGTTGCTTAAATGTAAATCATGTAAAGAGAATTCTCATTTACTGATCTAAATCAATCTTCTAGGTTGCAAACAGTCCTTTGAGGACTGGTGTTGACATAATATTGTTGCATCAACTTAACATTGTGTGCAATTTAAACTTTCCTCATTAGTTGATTCAATTCAGTTTGAGGTCACTTTGTAGCATGAAAGCTAATTCTCTGAACTCCAAAAGAAGCCCGTTCATGTGGCGACGGGGAGGAGCGTGATGAGGAACGCTGGCACTGACAGCTTCAGACGTCCTCATGAAGACGCTCACAGACTTCTCTGATCAAGCTTCGTCATTATCGCTGTGCCGGAGCTACTCGGGTGTCGGGGGGGGAGGAGGTCCTGGCCTGTCTCACACTGGATGATAGCTGCTGACTGACTCTGTAAGTGAGAGAGGAAGTGGTGCCACAGGGACAGTCCCTCACATGTTGGAGGATGCTGCTAATAAGCTGAACACCTACATCCATTCAGCGAGGCCAGGCTGTGATTCGGAGACGCATCACCGCCTCTGAGCTGATCTTCTGTGGTGGTGACACTGAAAACTATTTCAGGGGCTTTGAGGAAGTCCCTTAACACGTGACAGCGGGGCGGAAAGAGGGAACCATGAGCACGCTTAGCAAACATTCATCAGCCGTGGAAACAGGAAAATGCACATAATCGCCAGACTGTTCATTAGAAACAGCTGATAACAATGATGCTTGTCTGCAGGTCTGCAGGGTGCCAAAGCAAGAAACAAGACGGCCTGATTTCCTGCCAGCTCCTGTAGCCGAGCCTGGCCTCTGACCTTCCTGTGGACGCAGCAACAATGGAGGGAATTCTGTGAGCAGCAAGAAGTATTGTTATAATAAAGTTGCTGCTGTCACGTTAGATGCAGCTAAACACACACTGACTGTAGCTGGAGGCAGGAGCCACCTGTACGGTACAGCAGAGATGACAAGGCCGGGGTGGAGGGAGGAGAAGGACAACAAGAAATGACAAGGGGAAATGACAGATTGAATGGTCCCCAGCAGGTGGGCGCCTCCACGCCGGCACTGTGCTGGTGGCTGAAAGGAGCGTGTAAAATGACCAGGACGTCCATTCATCAGGCAGCTGATGCACAATGAGCCTGAGCTGGTTTCTTATCTCTGCGAGGTGTTTAGTGCTCATGAATATCTAGTTATTTGCAAACCTTTAACACACAATGCAGAGGTGTGAAGGATGCATCCAGGTGATAAAGCCCAGTCATGGACACCAGAACCAGAACCAGGGATGTGATTCTGACATCAGGCTGCCAACTGATCTCAGAAAATGGTCATTGATGCCAAGCAGTGCTTCCAAAACTCAAAAATATTCATAGAGGAGGAAAGAGAGCACAAAGTTCAGAGTCTGCAACTGAAGAATTTAGACTTTTTCTGTAATCAAACTGATTAATTGATTGTCTTTTTGATTGTGTGCACATTTCCACTGGTGTGTCTGCTGTAAATGTAAAGCTGCCATGCTGTCTGACTTCTGTTTACACACAATAACGTCAGATTTAAAGGTTAGAGAAGCAACAGAGCAGCTCCCAGCGGGGGCACAAAGTCACGCCAAACTCTATGTGGAAATCACTCGTGTTTTATCATCACAACAGGCGCGTCAGCCGCATCAGGGGAAAGCATTAAGTTTATTTCCTCTTAAAACGTAAGCCACTGGATGCGCTGTATGTGTGCCGAAACTACAAGAGCGGATTGCCAATTGACAATACATCAACATTCGTCTCACACAACGAGCAAAGAGGTCAGAATAAAAGAACAACTTGAATTGAAAGATTTATGAGTGGAGTTTGGCAGCGACGTTCCGCCAAGTAGAGAAAAACTGAGCTGAGGGGTAACGTCAAAACTCACCGACTGAAGGAAAAGCAGCGTCCGGACATAATCCCGCTCGGTGTTGACAATCTCATTCAAAACACAAAGCCTGAGCCGATGCTGTCGGTCCGAGTCCTTGGCGGCGTGGATCCCGTTCTCCAGATGCCCGTCGTCCTCCTCCATGATGAGCCTGAACCCGCGGCAGCTTCTCGACACGAACACGCGTCTCGTTCCCAAGTATCCCCACTCCGGAGCCTCAGTCCATGCTGCTGCAGCAAGTTGTCCACGAGAAAGCCTCGGGGCGCGGGGATGCCCACGGCACCGCACGCACGGAGAGAAAGTTCACAAAAGTGGTGGACGAGGCGCACAGGGGCCGGTAGAGAGAGGAGCGGAGGGCCGGTAGAGAGAGGAGCGGAGGGCCGGTGAGAGAGGAGCGGAGGGCCGGTAGAGAGGCGGCGGAGAGGCGGCGGTGGCGGCACCAGCTGAGGGGAGGCAGCAGAGTCGGAGCAGGGCTCAGTGACGGCGGACAGGAGGAGGAGGGACCCGCTGCTGGACACACACACACACACACACACACACACACATCTGTACCCGAACAATAACAAAGCAGCACTTCAGCTGCTCCACCTGAAACCCAGCAAAAGACAGAAATATGCGCAACTATGCAGTAAAACACAAAACAAATAACCTGTTTTTATTTTTAAAAATAAAATAAAATAAATGAAAACTTTTAAAAAAGGAACCTATAAACCAAATATACAACAAAAGTGAGAATGTAGGACAAGTATTGCATCAGTTCTAACTGAACAGAAGATTATTTAAAACGAAATACTTCTGGAAGACTTTATTAGAAATACAGGCTCCAAAGTAAAACCTCACATCTGTGATCAGTGGAGCCAAACTGCATGCAGCTGGGATTTCTAATTAACCTAATTACACGGACTTGGTTATAAAATGACATGTGAAGGCCAAACGTTGTCCAGCTCTGGACCTGTGGGCTCAGTTTAGCTCCACACAGACAGAAAAACGTCCAGGGAACCTAAAGTCAAACATGTGGACACCCAGCAGTGGTCAGGAGGTTCATAGTAGTAGTATATGCCTCCACTGACAGCACAGTCTGGTGCTGAGAACAGATGAACAAGTGGGTCAGACTGGGCACATGGGTCGTCTAACCCTAACACCTCAGACAATGAGGAGGACAGCACATGAATGCATCGTCCTCTGTGGATGGTGTTTAAGGAAAAACGCCCTGTTTGGTGCAAAGCCAGCAAAAACCAACGTGCTGCTATGTGAGTGTAAAAGGTGTTGGAGAGGTGACGTGTGTAGATGGCACCATGTGGATGCCTGTTGATGTGCTGAACACTGGCTGAGGATGACAGGAAGCACATCCACTCCGTAGAAAGGTAGAACAAATACTGTTCAGCTTAGATGTGATGCAAGTTATTGAGGTGATTATCAGCCATTAAGGAGACATCACACAGGAGTGGACGCACTTCTTCTGTCAAAAAAAAACAGAAGCTTAATATTTGTGATAAATGAAATAAGTCTTCAGAATCATTTATTCAAACGTAACAACTCACGCTGATGTGATATATTTTAAAAAAAAAAAGTGTACATATTGAGTTAGTTATGTGAGTTCAGGCCCCCACCTGTTTCATCAGAGCCGGCAAATTTAGAAGAACGGCGCCCTCTGGTGGACACAGGTAGAAGCACTGCTGGTCAACAGGCTTCAAATGAGAATTAAAAACCATCTAACTTTGTGTTCTACAGTGAAATCTGTTGAGAAGACTTTGTCTCTTAGCCTCATGCTTCCCAGTCTGATAGCTGCAGATGCTGATTAATCTTTTTCCAGTACAAATCCTGAATTACTGGCTCACACCTGTGCTTGCTGACACATACATTAAAAAGAGTGTTTATGATCTGGTCTTGTCATGCTTATGGACCAGGGATCTCCAGCTCTGGTCCTCTACTGTCCTGCAGGTTTTGGATGTTTCCAACACACCTGACTCATGGATCTCCAACAGCTTGCTGTCAAGTTCTACACAAGTCTGTTAATGATCCATTCATGTGAGTCAGGTGTGTTGGAAACATCTAAACCCTGCAGGACAGTAGCTCACCAGGACCAGAGCTGGAGATCCCCGATATGAACCAAACCCAAATATCTTCAGTTAAAACACGTTAATATTCAAATACAGCTTCAGGGAATGAAGGCACGCCTGCCGTCACTCGCCTCACCCTGGGGCTTTGGTAATATCTGCTGTAATATCCGGCTTTTTTGACTGCAATCAAACTCAAGCAGACCACCGTTAGCGCCACAGGTGACGTTAATCATGTTTGGGCTGCAAATATTTATAGCAGAATAACTGAAGCATCAGCACCTTATTCTAATACAGCTTTGGCTCTCGCTAATTAGAGCAATCGAGTTGCTGAACGTAATTTTTATCCTGCAAAGAAGAAGTCACATTGTACGAACGGGAGAAATTAAAATGTCAATAATAGTTTTAATTGATGCATGTTACATTCAATGCCCACCGCGTTCCTCCCACACAGAATTGCATACATACAGAACTGTTCTGCTGTCTCAGATGAGGAATGCAACAGACAACTTGTAAATGCCGTACACTATCATATATTTACATATCATCCTCTGCTTCTGTACATGGCAAATCCTTAAATATGATCAAACATCAGAGGAGTAACAGGATACATGGGTGACTGATTGAATGTAGTTTCTTTGAAGTATATTTAATGTACTTTCCTTCCAAAAAAAGGCATGTGCACACAGCACTGTCATAAAAAGTGAGTCACAATTAGACGTGATAGGTTAAAAATTCCACGACGCCTCTTCTTCTTCTTCTTCTTCATTCATATATCACAAGATAAAACTCTTCCTTCAGCAGGGTTTTTCTTCCAAAATGCACAAAAGTACAAAAAGACATGTAGGTTAACCAACAAAAAAAAAGAGAGAATAGAAAACAAACCAGAAATGTGCTCAGTGCATTAAGACCGTCCAAGGTGTTTGCCCTGTTCCATCTCTGTGATTAAATAGTTCACATTGCTACAGGCAGACAACGAGAGGGCTTCAATCGAAACACAAGTACAGTGAGTAAACAATGGTGAAAGAAAAAAACAAAAAAAGAAGAAGTTAGTAAAACATTTGTGAAGGCAAAATCTGCACTTTTCCTCTTTCCCGGGTTTACAAATGAAGAAACGACAGGTTCTATAATGCTGCAGCTACATCGAGTGTTTTGGCCGTTGAATCCGTCGTACGGGTTTAGTTTGGAGAACAAGACGCTTGAAAGTGTGCTGTGGCTCTGTTTGGTGTCTGCACAGACTTCAACCCTCAAGCGTCCTCGTGGTCTTTTCCAATGAGCCCTGAAAAAAAAAACCCAAGTGCAAACTCCAGGAGGTTCTGTAACTGCTCTCACCATCAGTGTTATGAAGTGCTAAAGAGTAAACCCAGTCTCAGGTGGAGAGGTTTGTAAATCATAAAACGTTATTCTCTGGAGAACGTCATTTATCTAAAGTGGCATGTAGAGGCTTTAGGGTCCCCTCGTAGTGTCGCCTGGCTGGCTGAGCAACCAAACATGTGGCCCCACACACTCACACTCTCACACTCACACACAGTGGAATGACCTCAAACATGACATCCACATGAAGTGAAACAACATGTAAATCATCTGGGGGGAAACAAACCTATAAATACTGTCTGTCTGCTCAGTCAGCTACTGGCCAAATGTGTGTGTGTGTGTGTGCACTAGGAAGACTATCAGGGGTCTGGATGTACACGGCAATTTGTTGTAAAGTCAATTGTGGGTGCAGAATTTCTCTGTTTTTCTTGAAGCCACCTGCCTTGAAGCTGTGTGTGTGTCACAGAACATGACTTGATGTTTATCTCCTTGGCAAGGACCCAACCGTAACATCTACGTGACTGAAACAAAAACAGATATGCAGATCTGGGTTTTGGACACAACTCTGTATTACCAAACCTCATGAAATTCATTCATATCACAAGATTTAAAACTTTTTACAAGTTCAGAAAGGCCAACAGTGTAACTATTGTATTGCAGTTAAAGATAAGCAGAAATTCTTTTGCCACAAAGCATGAGCCTAAACGAGGAGAGACGGTCGCTGCTGAGCTCTGAGATCTTCGGCGAGCAGCTGCAACAGAGACGCGTCGCGTTTTCCACCTTGGCATGGTTTTGACACTTTGATCTTGAAGTCAAAGGCAAACAGTGTTGATATATGTATTCATATAAATAACAAAATAGTACAGTATAAATATAAAGAATCTGTGTGTGTGTGTGTGTGTAGGTGTGTAGGTGTGTGTGTGTGTGTGTGTGTACAGTTGTAAGTGGTGTATGAGTATAGAGTAAGAGTGTGTGTGTGTGTATGTGTGTGTGTGTGTGTGTGTGTGTGCGCTTGCGAGCCAGTGTGAGGACAGGACGGGGGGATTAGAGGTGAGGCTTTCCCTCCCCCACTTCGTTGAAGAGCGAGGTGTAAAACTCCGGCTCCAGCTGCTTGTTGCGGTAACGCTGGATGATCTCCGTTATTTTCTGCTTCCGCCTCACATGAGGCGGGTTGTACAAGTCACTTTCCAGGCGCTTCCGTCGGCACACGTTGATGACTGTCTGGCGCACGAGGAAACCTGAGAAGAAACGCAGACACAGAAAACGTTCAGTGTTCACGTGCAACTGTGTACAAACAATGGACGAATGCTCAGACAGTGATTATGCAGAAAATGTAGAGCCAGAGAAAAACGAGGGGCGGTGTTTTCTAGGCCAAGGCTGGAGCCGAGGCAGAGCTACGTCTCAGTGCTGTTTGTTTGTCTGTCAATCAGCAGGATCACTATCAGGGAGAATGTCATTAAAGTTGACAGACCATAGGCTCAGGATGAATAGAATAGAATCGAAATACTTCATTTATCCCAGCAGCAATAAAGAAAACACCAGTAAACAGTAAACGAAGTCTATAAAAATAGAATCATAGAACCCACGTTCCATTACAATCAGTGGAAAGCTGAGACAGACATTTATTTATTTGTTTTTTCTATGGTTAAATAGAAGAGCGTAGAAAAGATAAAAGCTTTAAATCGTCCCTGTATGGTGTCAAAGAACCAGAAAGTGTCTGTTTTCCTCTCTCAGTGATCGTACCTTGTGGAGGATACAAAGGACGCCAGTTCTGATACAAACCATAACCTCTGATGTGAATAACTCATAAATAATGGAGTATATGTCATGCACATTTCAAGAACGTCTCACATTAACATGTGCACATTATTCGTGAACAGATTATTCCCTCTGATGCACTAAGACTTGTTGACCTCAAGAAAGTGTGGCAGGGGAAGGAAGTACGATTCCAGCCAGTGAGCACTCACCTAGCGCTCTGCGGCTGACCACCATGCCGTCCACCAGGGGAATCACCATGCCAAACTTGCCCACAGCTCCATGCAGCCGGATCCTGAAGAGTCCCGTCTTCAAGGGGTGGATGAAGATCAGAGGAACATCCTTTTCTAGTAACCCTGACCTACAGCGTCGATGACAAACGAGAAAAGGAAAAAATAAAATACATGACTTGCTACACGCCTTAATGTTTAAGGATGGAATCATGTTTTAAACAATAACTCTTTACTATGGTAGCACACATAATAATCATAATAATTCAGTTGCAGAGGCACTAAAAGCTACCAGCAGCTATATTCCATGACATCTACCATCCTGAAAAGCTTTTGACAAACAAGAGAACCAGAAAAATGAATGAAAAAGAGAGACAGTGCAACTAAATACACCTCACTGGAGCTTCACAAAAAACAAAGAGGAGTTTGACAAAGGTATGAATGATTCATTTAAACTGTATTTTAATGTGCAGAAGCTTCTGTTTTCCTCAACGTACACACAGCACTTCATCACAGGCTAGTGTCAAATGATTCTCAGCTTTGCAATCAAGCTGAACCGAACAAAACTAGTATGATTATAACAATTAATCCTTTTTGTACAAAACCTGAAGTTTCCTTAACACTCAGAGCAGTTGTCACATCTCGGCCACACTTCCTTTTCTCTGCCTGCATCTGCAGACGCTGTGTGTAGCGCTTCCTGTTTTGCACTGCGTGTCGAAGCACACTGGGTTTTGCAAAAATGTTTTTTCTTTTTGTAGTTTTTTTTTTTGTTCTTCCTTTTTACATACGATCAAAATCAAACCATCGACCGCACGTTCCGCACGCTGGCAGCAAAGTGATCTGAGAGTAAACACTTGAATACCTGCAGGAAGTGCTGTTGCTCATGCTAGCTTCCAGGCCGGTGCTGGTTTCCGCCAAGAGATCAGTCAACGGGAAGTTTTCTAAAAACACAAAAACAACGATATTCATACACCGCGATCCTTGGGTCACGTTCTTATGAAACAACTGGGTCAGTCTGTTTCAATTCAGACAGAATTCAGGACATTTGTTGCTGCACCCTCAGTTTGTTCAGAGTTTATATCTTTATTTGAACTATTTTGCCAGAATCTGGAGAATTTAGAATGTTTTAAAATATGACCTGGGACCATTTTAAGGGTTCAGAATCACAAGAAATACAAATCTCTGAGCCTGTAATGTAATAATAATAATGAGGACACATGCGTAGAAATGATTAATCAGCTCCAGCAGAGGCCATAGTTGTAATTAGGGCTCTTTAAATGGAGACACAGTTGGTACTGGGGCCCTATACAGTTTCAGTAAGTGCATATATGGCTGATGTAATATGGATGCATCCATACTTCCAATGAAAAATACCGTCTTTGGTCAACATTTCACCAACTTTTAAGGCCTATAAAATCAGTAGACCTTCATATGTGGCAGGTACGCTCAGCCAGTGTGTTGCTATGCTGACATGGACGACCTTGGCCCTCCTTCCTATGGTCACCGTTTAAGGCTCTGGAGGTTCACTACTGTTTAGGGTGAACTTATTGACATGTACGAAGACAGACATGAATATATTTTTCCTCACCACTAGTAGACTTAAAGTACAAGACAAGAGAGTGCGTGCCTACCGATATCGTCAAAGCGTTCCACCCAGACCACAAACACTTTGGTCTCAGGGCCCAGCTGGGGAAAAGACTTTCCAGTTGATGACCTCTTTGTCTTCACCAAAGGACTCAGCTATAGATAAATCACAAACAAACAGAAACGGTTATCTGCGCGTCCAGCACACAGTCCACACACACTCACACGAGACAAACTTTACCTTTTTAGCAGACTCCAGGTTTTCAGAGTGGTTGGGGAACAGTTCCAGTGTCAGGTTGGGTTGTTTGCCAGGCACGAGGTCTGTGTTGGTGTCCGCCTCCACCGTGGAGTCACTGTGCACTGATGACTCCTCTGTCAAAGAGCACATCACAGCTCTGTTGATCCTGAATCCCACACTGGGTCAGGGCTAGGGTTTTACATACGTAAAGGTGGTGAATACTCACCGGAACTTTCTGTTAGAGACGGAACAACGAAGGCGATTTCTGTCAGAGCATCAGCGTAGTACAAAACCTTCTTCTCTCCGTTGAACACTGAACCTCCTGTGTCCTCAGGAGTAGCTGCCTCCTCTACAAACAACAAGTTCAACGCTGACTGAGTCACCACCAACATCCAACATGTGGATAAACAACAGCTGCTGTGATGTGTATTTGTCTAATGCTGGCTTAGCAGCTTACCTGCTTGCTGTATATCATTGCTGTCAGAGCAGGAATTCAGAGACCAGCTGGTGTCTAGATGTCCCGTCCAGCCTGGGTGGCGTCCCACGTCCACAGGCCAGCCCAGAGACAAGAGGAACTCCAGGAAGTGGGGCTGCACACTGCTGGGAGACTCCACGTTCCTCAGAATCTGACCACAAACAACAAGAACAGATCCATTAATTAAACGACACGGTAAAGCTCTGTGTGCATCTTGTCGTTTAATGAATTACTTGTATACTAGAATTATTTTTTGTCCAGCTGTAAGCAATCAGCCTGTCGTCCCTCACCTCAGGGCTGCTCTTCTGTCCAGCCCTCACATAGAAAACAAAGACCGTGTCGAATGGTCGGCACGGCAGCAGGTCCAGGTAGCTGATGTCATCAAAGAAACCCGGCAGGGACGACTCGAGGCCAATCAAATGAGGAGGTAGACGACTGTTGTTGGGCTCCTGTCGATGATAAATGATTATATAAACGATCATATTAACGACAGCAATATGAGGTATGTGAGAATAATACAGTTATATTCACTAACCTTCAGTGCCTCCAGAGAGAGAAAGCCGAAGTGGGAGAGGAAGAGGCGTGCTGTCTGGAACTCATGCGAGGGTGGAGGAGGTTTGCAGTCCGTCTGTGGGTCAGGGTAAGGCTTGGACTTCCAGATGTCCTCGCTGAGGCGCTCCAAGGCGTTCTCATACTCTATTTGCTTGGTCATTAGCATACGAAGCTTGTCGTGCTGAACCTCGAGCTGAAAAGAAGGCGATGGGATGATTTTAATCAAGCTGTGTCTGATGCAAGCCCCACAGCACAAACACATGCAACCTCCAAGATGTGGTCTAAAACGCCGGCGTGAACCATTTAACGGGAAAAGAAATACAGTTTTATACCTGTTAAATCTAACCCAGTTCAGTCCAGTACAACAGTCTGTCCACAGATCCAGTCTCTGTAAAGCTTGTACTGTTCACTTTGTTAAAGCTGAATCAGAGAGGCACTGATATATCTGTGAGTAGTTACTGACAGCTCTGGATCAAATCATTGCAAGGGCACGGCACTGGATCAGAAAACTACACAAAACAATCATCACCAAACCAGATAATTTGACCCAAGTGAAATTTCATCTCTCCGACGACTCACGCAGGGGTCATTACTAATCTTTAGTTTGTGGTCTGAGTTTGTACCATAACAAATAATACCAGTAATAATATGCACGGCTTTATTTCAGGCTTGGTTTACATTACACCACGATGTGGACACCAGCTCAACAACAAGGCTACACACTGAGCTACTCTCTCACCTCCTTGTTGACAATATCATCCAGGTCTGGGATACTGACATCGGCTTTGACAAGAGGGATCTTATCCACCTCCTCAGGAAAGGGTCTCTGCTTGACATTGTACTTGATCCCCACATCGTTGTTGGGTGTTGGACGGCCCTCTGGAACAAACACCTGCTGTGGGACGAGAGAAGCAAACACACGGACAGCTGTGTTATCAGATGGAAACAGAGGCTCTAACACTTGATATTAAAATGTTTTTTTAATGATACTGGTTGAACATAATTGTCTCTCATTTCGCAGTGATCTACGATGTGATCTCACCCTCTGGTTGGCCCGAGCTCCCCTCGGTTGATGGAAGAGCTGCATGGTCCAGGCATGTCTGCCAGCCGTCCCTCGGATCAACACCGTTACCGATGGACTGGGGTCTGTGAATACAAAACGCTCAGACTTAGGGAGAAACAGGACGGCCTATTTGTTATTGATTTTAAGCTAACAGTGCTTCGTATAAGGAGGATGATTCAGCCTCTACTTGTACATTAAAAGTAAACCAGACAGCGCAACAGAAGCTCCAAATATAAAACAATCTCAAATCAAAGGACAGATGACGAGCTACTGACTCTGCTCATTGCCAAGAGGCTGCTCCAGCATTGCGAGGATGACAGAGTTGTCCAGGACAAAGTAGCGGAAGTTACTGGCTCCTGTGGCGCTCAGTCTGGCATAGCGTATCAGGGTGTCCTCATTCAGCAGGCTGCAGGTGGAGGCAGGTCCACTGGGAGAGGGGAAGGCCCCCAGCACCTGCATGATACTGGGAAACACCAAAGAAGCAAAGCAAGCAGGAACATAAATATGAATAAACCAGGTCAACGGGTACATTTTACTTCTAATAGCCACGTCTGACGTTGGTGATTCTGCAGAAAAACATGGGTAACCCAGAGAATGAAACAGAAAGCAAGGAAACAGTTTAAGCCTCTCTGCAGGATCATCTTCTCGGCATATGTGAAGTCCTGCACCTCTATGGAAACAGCACAATATGGCTAGAAGTAGTCAGAACTGTCTTGTGCAGCATAACGATGCCATAATGCCATAAATCAAATCAAAAAACAAAAACGCTGAATTGTTACCAAGGAGTTACCAATACTGGAAAAAAATAAAATGGTGACCCTACATATTAGCAACAGTTCATTAAGTACATTTTGATTTTGCTTCTCTTCTCCTGCATTAGAGCCACACAGTCCCTGAATGTTGGTCACATGACTGTAGGTGAGTCTTGGAGGAATCGGCTTCCAGGTCTGGAGTGACCAGAACTGATGAAGCCCCTTCGATGAGAGGTGAAACGTCTTCAAGGAACTCAACCAAGTCCAGCTGCTACGATTAATCTACGAGAAGAGCCATGACCTGGACGACTGAGAACCTTCACAGACATGCAAAGTTGAGTGACAGAGAATTTTTTGTTTGTTTTTTTCCACAGAAAATGTGATGGGAATAAATATTATGGTTTTTCAGCTTACAGTCAGTCAGGTCTCTTGACTGAAAGTCACGTCACAAACGAGAAGTTCATAGACTGTCGACAGGTTCTGGCTCTGATAAATGGTGTCATTTTGGCAGCTTTGCAAACACAAACCCAGTGGGTTTACAGCGTTACACAATGATTAAAATTTGGGGTCAAATTCCTTTCATTCTTCTGCTTGACTGGACTATGTTTTCCTATATTTTCTGTGGTTCTAATTTGCTTTGTTTTTATGTTAAACATCGTCCTTATTGTGTGACTGAGCACTGCTACAGCTGACCAGTCAACTCACTGGATAATAGCTTGCAGACTAACGAGCATGCAAATCACCACTAACGGCACGAAAGCAACAGCTACAAGCACTTCTTTCAAGCTTTTCAGCGAGCCAAGGTGCATGACAGGTGTCTCTGTTTCAGGACAAAGAGAAGACGTCACAGACATACAGCTACTGTTTGGGTTTAATTTAATTACCATCATGCCGGTAATGGAACAACGATGGTGACTGTTTGATGCAAACTAGTCACAACGTGTTTTTGGCTTTATACCAAAAAGCAGAGAAGCATTTTCATTCAAAGATTCGTGTCCAACAGCAGCCTCTTCCGTACACAGACACATAACATCATCACTCGTCTTTTCTTGAACTAACTCTGAAAAGCCTCACCAGGACAGAGTGGCCTCAGCAGCATCCTTTACCCTCATCGAAGCAGGGTTGTGCTCTTTCTCCCCTTTATGTCGGACTTCCTGTTCCTGCCGGGACTTGCTGCCAGAGATACCCAGCTCCACGATCTCCAGCACTTCTACCAAACAATCCTGAGAGGACAGAGAAACATTCATTTTAACAAACAACATTTTTCTGTACTAACAGTGTACCTGAAAGACGACTTAAATCCGTCTTTAAGCTCACCTTCTCATCCAACATGTCAGGGTGCTCTGTGAGCCACACACAGAGGAACTGGAAGGCAGCTACGATCATGGAGTGGAGGTCTCTCGACTGAAGAGGGGCTGGACGGCTGCACTGGTACACGATGTAGCCGCATATCGAGCTGACGGCACGTTTACGGTCCGCAGAGTCAACTCCCACTTTCACCTGACAAACACAGGCACATTTAATGCATTAGATGTGCTTGAAAAACACTTAATTTCATGCTATAGGTAACTGTTTTTAAAGTTGTTAGTGCATTATTGATAGGTTCCTCTTAAAACTAATACACATTTGATGATTTGTAGTAATGTAAAAGTCTTTTCTTTGCTCCTCAGCAGGCTAAACCGGTGTGGTATCATCATAAAGCCAAGCACTACCAGCCAGTGTGCTGTTTGGAAAACGATGCACCTCACGGCAGTGTGTTGTTTAAAACAGACAGCACAGCCACTACATGGCACACAAACTGTAGTCTGTGAAGAAACTCCTCTTCTGGCAACTTCCTCATAACTAACTCGGACATTTCTGACTTGACATGTTCACATGAATCATGGAAACGCATTATTAGTTCTCTGTGAGGCGAGGTTGTCTCATTTGTGTAGGTGACCAGGATCAAGGTCTAACATAAAGTGTTTCAGGACCAGACTTTTCTTTTGCCAAATCTCTCTGCTAAGCCTGCACTTTTACTGAAGTTAGACCTTACTGGCTATGGCAGAAATAGAGTTTAAAAAGCTGGCTGAGACCTGTGTGGGTACCTTGGCCAAGCCAGCTAATAACGACTTCAGATTATTACACTGAGCTTCTGTGGTGTTCACGTTACCTTGGCAAGTCCGGCCAGCAGCTCCAGGGCAGCCAGTGAAATGCTCATGTCCTGCCTCCACTGGGAGTTGAGCCTCTGAGTGACCAGGTGGATGCTGCGCACCAGAAGGCCTGCCGCTGTATCTGTAAGAGCTAGACCATATAACACCCCGAAATACCAAACACGGCAAAGAATAGAGCAGTGCAGGATTAAGGCAGCAGAGCCGTTACATCAAACAGGATGAATGCCCGGTTAGAAGGTGGGTTTTTTTGTATCGACAACATGCATTCATAGAATTTAAAATCAGCACAGCACACTACAGAGAAAATATGGGTAGACTTCAGCAGAGACAGGAGCAAACAGGCGGCTGAAGAACAGGACTGAGCGATGTCAACATCTTCACATCACAATTTGAACTTTTAAAAACAATTCCATGTAGATTATAATGACTGTCCATCAAGCTGCATGCACAGTCAGATCCATAAATACGTGGACACTGACACAATCTTCAGTATTTCGGTTCTGTACACCACCACAATGGATCTGAAAGTAAACAATCAAGATGTGCTTCAAGTGCAGACTTTCAGCTGTAACTAGAGACTATTTACATCCAAATCAGGTGAACAATGAAGGAATTACAACACATTTTATATGTGCCCGCCACCTTTTTAAGGGACAAACAGGAACTGGACAAACTAACAAAAGCGAAAAATAAGACCAGAGCATTTGTTAACTTAGCAACAGCTGCTAGCAGAGACAACAGCAATCAGTTACAGGCTAACTGGCTATCTAGACCGAATTAACCACTTCAGGGTGACGTCTTCCAGAAATTTGTCACAGAACAGCAGCGTGCCAAATCGGGAATGACCGTAGTAGATCAGACAGAGCTTACTTCTGGGATCTGCGTCATAGTTTCGGCCCATCACGACTACAACGTGACTGTGAAGCTTCCAAACTGAAACCGGGTCAGCAGCGTTACCACAAGTCTCTGGTTAAGGTATCCTCAAGTTCTGTAGCAGTGGGAACGCCAGGTGTAAACACAGCAGACGTTCTGAGTTGTAAAATGTGTGAAACAGTATGCATGTAGCCTCAGTTTATCCCACTATTTACATGGTTTAAAACTTTGAAAAAATAATGGCTGCTGAGATTGATGCTAAACAAGAAAGGAACCCTGAAGTGAAAGCCTCCTTCCTGCTAGACATGGTTGCTTATAAGCAGCCTTGTGCTCTGTGACAACTGATATAAAGTTTAAATAAATAAATAAAAGATAAGGAAAGAGGCCAATATGAATACATTTTAACTGAATAATCCTAAAATGCCAACATATCACGGTGTCCTGAGTTGGTTAGAAATCGCTCAGTCCTGCAGAGGAAGGAAACAACTTTCTGAGAGGCTTTAGATGAGGTCACGTTATGGCAACAAATCATTTACAGAAAGAAATGCAGATCAGGAACTTCTTATCTCTCAGCAGCGTTAAACAACATCACAGCAAACAGCTCTGTATCACCTACAAAGACATTTTACCCAGCGCTTCCTAACTCTGCACACCACTTTAACCACGTTAGCTATAAAAAGCAAAGGAGTTCATTTAGTAATCAGCAAGCAGGTACAGATCACTGCAGTTAGTCCACCTGTAGGCCTGTTATCCATCATCAACCCAAGAGCGCGCTAATGTGTTAATTCCCAAAGCACAAGGAGGTGAGTGTATGCGGAGTAGCTGCGTGTCTCACCATAGTCTCGAAGCAGCGCCTGTGCAGGACGCTCAGAGTCCGGGCTGGTGGCCTCCGTGCTGCCTCCACTGGTGAAGCTGATGCCGCTGTTGGTACGGCTGTGACTCTGACTCCTCACCGTCATGTGACTTCCATCTATACTCCCCTGTGGCCACAAAAACACAGCAATGTTGACGTCCAGACCAGCCTCTGGCACTGTAAAATGTGAGCAGTTCATCAGACAATAGCAGTAATGTGAGCCTTACTGTTTCAGTCTGTGCACCTATGGACTCTAATAACGCTGAGTCTTGGACAATATTTAGCATTGCACCTGAGGGGAAGTGAAAAGATTAACAATGAGACCGTATAAAGAACATAAACGCACTGCAACACAGTCATAAACGGTTTATGTCAGCATGAAGACAAGCAAAACTGAAAGGCACGATAAAGAGCGTATGAAGATTCATGCAGATACCCAGGATGAGCTGAGTGTTTGTGGGGTCAGTCTCGGTCTGCAGCGCTCCTATGAGGACATTAACGAGACGTAGTCTCAGCGATAGGAAGGACACCGGCTGGTCATGAGGCCATCCGTCCTCCTCATTGAACTTCCCCTCGAGCAGAACCTAAAGAACACAAAGTCAGCATGTTAACAGCCAGGGTTATCTGAGAATGATGCCGCATCTACAGGCCCACAACAGCATGTGTTTGACAAACTACACTGACTAAATTCTCTTTAATGGCAATGAAACAAACCACCAACATAACATCAGTAAGCAGGGCTGTGTTATTGCCCCACGGATCCTCCATCTGTTACCTCTGATTTGATGTTGCCAAAGTGGTGCGGCAGCGGCAGCATGGCCAGCAGGATGTTGATGGAGGCTCTCCTCAGGTCGGTAGGATTCACATACATCTTGAATTTGGACAGCTCCCTGACAAATGTAATGAAGATGAGTTTCAATCAATATCTCAGAACAGAAACCTGACAAAAATCATTCTGACTTACAAATAAAGATGCAGATATTTCATAAACTGATTCAGAGTTGTAGTAACAAACTACCTGTCTGGCACAATAGTCTCCAGTGCAGCTATGAAGTAGGGCACCACCACATTGATGCCCTTCAGGTCGGTACAGAAGAGAGAGGAAGAGTTGAGAATGATAGACGCTAGAACTGGTCTACAGATGAAATCGGAAATCTGGAGGCCCTGAATCAGGACCATGTAGAACCTGCAGAAAGAGAGAGCGGAATAATAGTACCCTTTGTTCTGTCCGGTTTACAGTTTAAAGCAGGTCAAGGTTTTAACTGGAATCAAAGCGTGTGCACACAGTTCGGCTGGCATTACTGTTTGAGTTAAACACGGCTACCTTGACAGGTAAACAGGCAGAATCTCCTCTCCAGTTTTCTTGCTACAGAAGATGCGACAGAGAGTCCCGCAGGCCTCGGCCCGACCCGCCTCGTAGCTCTCTGGGAACTCGTTGGCATCAAACATGGGGTTGGACACCATGGAGTCGGTGGACATCTGGGATCCCTTCCTCCTCAGCTCCAGGCCCACCTGAGTGGCTATCGCTGTAGAGAGTGGGACGAGACAAAGAATGAAAGGACCCTGAATTGTAGTGCGGTCAGTAGGATTCATGCATGTATGAGAAACAAGCAAACATAGACACGTATCTGCTATATGCACACTGGAACAAAAATGAAACAGTAAAAAATTTGGAACACAAAAGCAACGGAAAGCAGAAATTGAATTTGCTATCACAAGAAGAGAGAAGACAGACTTAAATGACTGCAAACACACTCACATCCTTTTAAAGCATTCATAAAGGGAACTCTGACACAAAGAGTTTGCCGTACAAGTTCCACCTATCGCTAATCGTGACCCAGTGTGGTGTGCTGGTACTAAAACGTGTTCACTGCTGCAAGACGACAAAGCAAAATCCCTGTGTCAGCTCCCTCAGAGTTGCAGTTATATGGCTGTCACTCAAGGTACAGAACATTCACTTCATGCATTGAGGCACCAAACCAATAACATCACAACTTAAGTTAACTGACAACACAAAAAAATAAATTACAAGAAACAAAACATTAATGCTGAAACTTGAGGGGGGGAATCGAAAAACTGAATAGTAAGGATTAGCGTGACTCAAAGGAAAAGAAAACCACAACTTAAAATGGGGTGGCATTGTCACAAACTGGCGACGTTATGGGCGAGACAAGTGGTCAGTTGGTGAAACCCATTCCATCACCTTTGAAGAAACGCTGAAAGAACGCTGGTGAACTTTTATATATATGTATATGTATATATGACAAAGAGTGGGAACAGAAAAACAATGGTGATAATGGCGATGATCATGAGGAACTCAACTCAAGAAACGGAAATCAAGTGAGGAAAAAAAAGCTGCCGTTCCTACTTACAAGATTTATAAGAAAGGAGAATTTGGATAAAAGAGGCTGCAAGATAACAGAAATAGTGGAGAGAGACAAAATCAAAGCAGATCCAATATTTTGGGATCAATTCATATCAGGCATGAATTGTGTGGTTTTTTTTTTTTTGTTCGTTCTCCTCAATACATGACCTCTGAACCATTACAACTCTTTAACATTAATAAGACATGGTAGACACGTGCAGGACACTACACCAAAAAGAGAACAATAAATGGAGAGCCAATAATGAGCCAGATTTGTTTTCAAACACTACGTACTGCAAGTTCTGTCAGTGTGACTCCTCTATAGTGATGAACTTTAACAATAAAATGACTGTATGAAATCCTTAGCATATGGTGCTAGACTATATGCAGTTTTAGCCAGGTTTAAATCGTTGGTAGATGCAAATGGATTAGAATCTGATGGAAGTCTCATGTGAGGCCACTTCTAACCAAGCCCTCCACACACAGAAAGGCACGACAAAGTTTCAGAGAAAATGGTGAAAAAAGAAAAGGACAGTCCAACAACGTACAGTAAAACGTAACACCAAAAAAGACACAACTCCACAAAAACACGTACTAACAAACAGCAACAGAACACCCACCTTCCCCATGCATTAATGGAAACGCTATTAGCCATGGCGTCACTTCTTACCCGTCATGCTGGGGTCCCGGCTGAGGCCGCTGTGGAGCTTACAGTGGACCAGAGCGGCATCGAAAAGCCACTGGCCAAACAGGTTAAGGATGCTGTTGACCTTTGGCCGAGCTGGGGCTGGCAGGGGCCGAGACTCCCAGCTGCTCTGGTTGGGGCTGGAAAGCAAGGTCGGGGACGATGACGTTTGCTGCTGCTGCTGCTGCTGTTGCTGAGAGGCTTTGGTTGGCTGATTACCACTGCCCTGTGGGGTGGGGTGGGGTGGGGTGGGACACAGGAGGATATCTGATTAGGTCGCACACAATGTGTAACAGATCAAACACAGAAGGGTGGAGTTGAAATTAGATTTTCTTGAGACTTCTTCACATAAAAAACGACAAGTGTACTACATGCTTCCATAAAAGTTCTTAGAGGAAAATAAACTATGTCACTAAAAATATTAACTCCGTTCTGTCTGTATACCAACTGCAAGTAATACCAGGCAAAATAAAAAAAACAGAGCTGAGATGTTCCTAACTCTGCTGCTTTGACTGGTTGTAGAAACAGCTGGACTCACAGTTGAACTCTTGCTTGTCGTTTTCGTGACTGCCGTGTGCCGCTGCTTGCGGTTGTGAGGGGGCGTGGTGTTGGTGATGGAGGGGGGCGGGGACATGCTCATCCTGTTGACTGGGGTGGGCGGGGCACTGTCAGCCCTGGGACGTGATATACCTGTTGACAGGTGGAAGGTGAAATGAGCTGTGGGCTACAGATGGCTTTCTCTTGAAACAAGAGGGGAGATTCTGATTAGAATCAGCAAACAAGAAAATCATCATCAGCGGACAGAAGTCGCTTTGGGTGAATATACACATTTGAAGCCACGGCCCATTTTTAATGTTTTAAGAAAGAAAAAGACAATGAATTGGCTTCAGAGTCAGAGTTGATCATAGAAAGCATTCATAGACATGCAAGACAATGTGGTTAGACGTAAATCACCGACAAATATTATGAATCCACGTTGATTGACTTTTGATGGCTGCAGGAGATCCCTGTGAATGATCTTGTAGTTTAGTCTCAGTATCTGGAATCATTTGTTTTGCTAGTGCAAAACTTATCCCAGTTGTTAATCTCATCACCACCAATGCACAGACCAATCCATCATATGCCCACAGTGTCTTATTATAGGATGTATCAGGTGGCATCTATACCATGAGAGAGCAGCACTGGACAAAAAGTGAACACCCTCTCCCGTACGTCTCTCTTTTCAACAGAGACACCTACAGTGTAAAGAGAGAAATACACACTGATACGTTTCTATTCAAATGATAAAGCATGTAATACTGCCTGACATCCTTCATCTGGATCTTACTGAGGATAGTGTCAGAACCACGACTATTACAAAAAAATGAAAACTTGGATTATCAGGTATTAATTAACATTAATAGTTTTTGCATAGTTTACCTTTTTCTTCAATAATCAGCCTTTCTTTCTATCCTTTGGCATCTTTCAGTCAACTTTGCTTATGACAGATTACAATCAACACCATTTATGCTTTGCAGGAATCATATAACTCTCACATAAGCGTGGGGACACCTGACTAAAGCAGACGACTGTCTAGAAAACAGAAACAGCATATTTTAAGTATAAACCCCGACATGATGTACTGAAAAACGCTGAGCGAGTACGTTTGTGGGATCTTACTGCCTTGCTTTTATGATTTAACTGTAAATAAATTCTTGCCTTTGAACCAACGTCTTAAACGTCACACGACGGAGCTTTTCATCCAAACTCAGAATCCTCTTACCCAAGAAGGCGTCTACTAGACAGCTGACGCCCCTCATGGCCCTGAAGAAGATCTGGGGGAGCTGTTTCAGACACGGATGCAGGACAACCTCATGGGGGATGCCGCTCGAATTGAGAAACTGTTCCTGGAACTTTGGAGTGGTGCTGACTATCGCAGGGTTGCTCAGGTCTACCGGGTTGCTGGAAACAAACGGGCAGAGTAGTATTGAGGATTAAGCAAAAAGCTCACAGATGCCACAAAAGATCTGTTTGATATATGAAAGTAGAAATTAATACAAGACAGACCAATGGTTAAAAGGAGGGAACAGTGGATTGATTCAGACAATAGAAAGAACAAGATGTGATTTCTTTTCTTTTCACAGATAGGAACCAGAGTACATCGACAACTTCCACTTCTCTTTAACACACATAAACAAAGAACCTTCTATGTCAGGCAGGAACATGAAGAGGAATATCTTCTTCAGGCAAAGGCATTTATGTCAAGACGTTATGCACCTGAGCATGTGGAGGAAACGGTACCACGTCTGTGCTATGCAGTCATTGTCCATCTCTAAAGGAATTAAACTGGCATCATCATCGGGGACTTTGAACGGTGGGAAGGACGGTCCATGGGTGAAGCGCAGAAGTCTAAATGAAAAGACATGAGACAGGAATATACAGATTACTGCATTTAGTAGACGACAGAACTTAAAAACAAACAGAAAACCTCTTCATTTGTTTGGTTTGCTTCTCGTCTGTGTGCACACAGGAGCTGAATTGTAAAAATGAAAGTACAAACAAGACTCCCTTTCAGTGTGTGAAGACTTTTTATGACCACATAAAATCAAAACGAATCCATTCCAACCTGGAGGTCAGAGCACAGGCCACTCTGCTCCACTGCTCCACCACAGGAGGGTGGTGTCTCCAGTTGGCCAACATTTCCCTTGCAGTCTTCCAGTACGGTGGTGTGGGGAAGCAGCGAGCACATGCCAGCAGCCACACCTCAAACAGCACCGCCATCAGTTTCTCTGCCAGCTTCTCTGCTACTCCGACTGAAACAAAGGGGGGAAAAAATAGATTATTATTGTTATTCGTCATAATTAATAATAAAAATGGGTTTAGGAAGACAGGGCAGGGCTTACCACCAACTGTGGGCGGCGCAAGCAGCGTGTCATTGATGCGAAGCAGGAGGAGCAGCAGCACCTCCCAGGTTTCTCTTACCATGGAAACAGACTCTCGTGCAAGCTTCTGGACTGCAGTCAGAACCTGCTGGCAAAGCCTGATGTGGTTCAGACTGTGATGCTCAGGCCTGGAGGGAGGAACAGTGTGTTTAAAATGAGGGGAGAAGGAAAGACAGAGAGTCGAGCAGATAATGAGAGAAGCAGTGAGACAGTGACAGCAGCCTTTCTACGTGGCATCAGGTACCAAATGCCCCGAGTATGCATTGCTGTATAAATGAGAGCTAATGGAACATAAAGACTCATCAGTCAACTCTTTGGACGTACCTTGGTACAAAGACGTTGTAGAGATGTTTCAGAATGGTCTGGACGTACATGTTGGGCTCCTTGACCACAGGCTGCGGCATCGAGTCTCTGGGTGACACCAGGGCCATCATCCAGTCTGTGTACACGTCCACGCACAGCTTGACAGTGTCGCCCTCCAGGGGGAGGGTCAGGCCGTAGCACAGCACCTCCATGGTCCACTTCACCTGACAACCAAACCATTCTCCTTTACTTAATGTTCTAAAGTTATGAGTCATTTGTGTATTTGGTAGCATTTTGCTCTGTAGTGGATTTCTGCACACAAAACAGGAAGTATAACACCTCTCTAAATATATGTTCAAGGCATTCTCGTGATACACGAGGTGTGTCAGAAAAGTTCCAGGACTGGTGTCACAAAAGATAGATTTCAGACCCAAACTACAAACTACCAATGTTCCCCTTCATAGTAATCTTCCAGGATCCTCTCAGCTCCGTCGTCACAGCCATCTTGATGTTGTCCACATCTTCTAAACGGGTCCTCCTTGAGCTTGGGGAAGAGGAACCAACCCCACAGAGCCAGGTGGGGTGAGCAGGGAGATGTTCTTCTCAGCCAGGAGCTGTGGGATGCTCAGGGCGCTGTGAGCAGGTTGTCATGGTGAAGCAGCAACGACTGGTCCTGACACAACTCTGCCTCTTCTGAACGAAGCAAACGCTGCAGGAACTCTTTGTAGACGAGCTGGTGGATCGTCTGAAGGGGAAAACTCCTAGTTTGTGGTTTGAAATCTATCTTCTGTGACAGCAGTCCTGGAACTTTTCTGACACACCTCGTAGTATTGCACCTTTTTGCCATTCTGCACTTGTCCAAGTGAGAAACTGTGAGGAGTTAAATACATTTATGGATTAACTGTGACATAACAACGAAGGGCCAAGCTGTACAAAAAGATGATGATAGCAATAACAAGACACTGCCACTTTATAGTTTCTTGTTAAACCAAAAACAGACCAGATATTTAAAAGGCAAGAGATGAATGAAAACTGAACGATCATTCAATAGCCTAAGGTATTTCTAAACCTCAGTGTTCATGTATCACAAATGACAGTAATAACAGGGGATGTTTTCAAGGCAATGATGCTGATTTAGTCCTAATATACTCAGTGTGTGTGATTTTCCTACATAACTGAGCTGCAAACTTAGTCCAAAGTCAGCCTGTATTAGAATCCTGCATAACAGTGCTGCCTTGACAGTTTCCTTCCTTCTGTGCATAATTTCCCATGGTCTTCTCTGTAACACTCGCTAAGAAGTCAGCGTGGATGCGTAGCGGCAGGAAGGCCTATCCAAGCTTTATCCTCAGCAGGTAGTGACATTTCAAGCAACAGCAGATGATTTAGAGAAAGATTGCACAAACATTTTTACCCTAACACCGCTCCTCTCACATCACTCCCTGACACATGCTGTCACATCATTAATTGAAGCTGTTGGCTTCCTATGAGCTCCGTGGTTCAGCTGCTCACAATGGTGTCTGTTAGCAGATGGGCCCGTGTTTTTTATCAGAGCACAGGGGAAACTTATTGACAGCTGCTGCAAACAGAGTATGCAAACAAGAAAATCAGAAAGTGATGTGGGTTTTTAAGTTGCTTATCCATCAAATATGGCTTAAATCAGCAACCGTGAGAATCCTGCTGTCGGGCTCAGGAAATCTCTTATTATTAAAAACACAGTAATGTCGTATTGCATTGGGTACACAGTGTGCAGCAGTGGGGGTTTACAACATCTAAACAGCAAGTTATTTCTCATGTAATGGTTTTTTAGCATGTATAAAAAAAATACTCATAGGTAGCCAAATTATGGTCATGTTGACTGCAATGAAAGAAAAAATGAGAGGGAATCACCAGTGCCAGTACTGCTTAAGTTGTGTGTTTCAGATGTAAGCCTCTAGCAGAGATAGGAGAAGCTATTTCTGTAGGGTCGCTACAAAAAACATACTTCAGAGTAAAAGACACATGAGGGTTTTAAATGCACCTTTGGAGAATTAGGGGGGAAAAAAATCCATAGCATGAAATGTCATTACATCTGGCCAATGTCAGAATACACACACACACTAACATCCTGACTGTGAAACATAGCAGTGGTGGTTTTATTGTGCTCTAGTCTTCCTGACAGGAACTGGGAGACTGTTCAAGATAAAAGATAAATAAAAATCAAACACAGTCAGGTCCTTGAAGACATCCTGATTCACAGCGCAGGATAGGGACACAAAGCTCAAATCCAGAAAGACGTTCTGCAGCCCTAAGCCTAAGCCCTGCTAAAACATCATTAATGGAAACTCACAACAGCCTACATGCAGATATACACACGAGAAAAGGAGAACCAGCTGGAATATACTGTCCATGTAAAAACCTGATACTGACATCGAAGCTTCATTATTGCCTTCATTGTAAATCAGTGTTCTTAGTTGTTTTTGCTTTGTGTTTATGAGGTTAAAACTCAACTCAACTCAACTCAAACTTTATTTATAGAGCACATTTAAAACAACCGGGGTTGACCAAAGTGCTGTACAGAATGAAAACAACATGAAAACCACAGAAAACTGTTGTGCAGCTTTTCCACTGGTTGGCACAAACACACACTGACACACACGGCAGTTATCTTACATGTATGTAGAACAGCAATGTCATCTGAATGCAGTGAGCATGAGGCGGGAACTGGCGTTCACCCATGTTGGATTTTAGCTCCTACTATGTTAATAGCATTTCAGAAAATATACTTTGGTTGCTTAGCAGTGTTTGAGGAGATCAGACACTCTGAGTTTGCCCTCATTGTAACCTGGTAGTTCAACCTATTTTATTAAACAGCATCACTACGCACAAAAACATCTGAATATTACTGTTTTCTAATTCCTTGGATAATTATTACAGCACCAGCTAACAGCATGGTAGGCACTGAGCTGTCTAAAATACCTCTTTGAGACCAATCCCCCCCATTAAGTCGTGACAGTCCCCCAAAGTCTTGGTGATGGAGTTGATGGTTTTATGGTGTGCATGTTGGTGTGGGGCACCGTCTCACCTCTTTGTCTGTTTTCAAGATGTTCTCTGTGGCCACGGGGCTCACAGCCGTTCCCAGGGGCTTGACCACAGCATTGGCCACCTCTGTGCCCACCGTGGTGGGGTAGGTGTGCAGGACGCTGAGGTGGCCCTGGTCACTCTGCACCACCAGCTGCAGCGAGCGCCACTCGGAGTACATGCTGCTGATGTGTGCTGCCTCTACTCACAGCTCCTGCCTCCACCTGCTGACACACAGATCCACAGGTGAGCTTAGCATAGCAGGTAGGGAGAAGAAGGAACAGGCTGCTGTGAAATCTAATGTCTAGCACCGATACAGTCGCGTCCTTCGTTGTGAGAATACTTCTCCTCAAATGGTGCCCTGCTAACACAGAGTCATACACTCATCACACCTCCTTCACAGTTCCATCATGTTTGACGATCTTAATGACCACCACAGTGTTTCTGCTTTACCGTGTTTAACTGGTACCACGTATAGCTAGCTGTGTTTCGGTGCGAGGAGAACGCAGGAATAAAACGCTAGCTATGACAAAAAAATTAATCAGCTGTTCTTGAAAAATGGTAAACATCCTGAACCAACCCTTGGAGAGAGTGGACTGTTCACTGACATGAACCCTGACAGATCCGTACTGCTGCTGCTGCTAACACTGGGCTCTACTAAAGCTAGACTTACGGAGCATATTTCAAATACTAGCTGCAGTTTATCTCCTGGAAGATAACGAACTGAAGGAATGTGACAAATCCACCGTTTGTATCCTGCACCTCGGGTCAGTAATGAGCAGAGGAATTACAACCAGGAAACGGCTCTGGAAATGAGCCGCTTGCTAACGTTAGCTACCGCTGACATCAAAACATCTTTCCCATCCTGCTCATGACATTATCTGAATCTTGCTGCCGGTTGGCTTTTGTATTACACGGCTCTTCTTTGGTAAAAAAAAACGATGGTACAGTGCGCTAACTTATCAGTTATCTGAAACTACGTTGTGGCTGATCCGACGCTGCTAGCTAGCTCTGCTGCGCTAGCCTGTTAGTTGACATTAGCTAGCTGAGCTAGCTGTCATCTGTGCTAACTACCTAACTTTGCAGAGACGCTAACCACTGCTCGAGAGCTAAGCAAACGATATTCTTCAATTTACCTGGACCAGTTGGAAATGTTGTCATAACAGAGTTCTGAAACTCGCAGTCTGTGCTTTCTCTGTATCCTGGTCTAAACCATAACAGCCTCCATCTTCGCAATGTCAAGGCTTGAATATTGCAGCCTGACGGGCTAACGGGAAGCAGGAGCCGCAGCTCGACGCCCCCCACTGGTCGGGACAGGCAGTGCACCAGAGCCGACGCTGCCTTCAGGAGCTCCTGCTGAGCCGCTCTGTAACTAAGCGCTGTTTAGTACAAAATAGTCTGTTATATCTGTTTCCTTTTTTCATATGTTGTGATTTGTTGCAAGCTTTCATCGCTTGGAGGTTTGTGTGATATTTACACATTTAGAAAAAAGTGCCTAAAAGGAACAGGAAACCTATGAAAGCCCGTTTCCGCCAATAAAAATATAAAAAGTCATAATTATGACTTTTTATCTCATAAATATAACTTTTTTATATTTTTACTGGCGGAAACGGGCTTTCATAGGATACAGTGTTACAAGTTACACAGTTTATAAAAAGGAAATAAACGTCAGATGAAACACTTCAGATCCAAGGTCTTCAAAATGATAAGATGTGAATCTGAGATGATCAGATTTCATTCTGGTTTTAGAAGATTAAAATTAGGATGAATCAAAGACTAAATAGAAAAAATATAAGTGTCTAGTTTGCATACAATAGGCACTGTCATTCTTTCTTTGTAAATGGTTGTTTGTAGGGCTGCAAGGTGGCGCAGTTGGTAGCACTGTTGCCTTGCCTGCGTGGAGTCTCCATGTTCTCCTCGTGCAGCGTGGGTTCTCTCCAGGTTCTCCAGGTTCCTCCCACAGTCCAAAAACATGCTGAGGTTAATTGGTGATTCTAAATTGTCTGTAGGTGTGAATGTGAGTGTTCACCCTGAGTCAGCTGGGATAGACTCCAGCCCCCCATGACCCTAGTGAGGATTAAGGTGCAGAGATGATGGATGGATCACAGGTGTCAGTGTCCACAGTTAAGTATGTTTTACATTGCCATGAGCTGAGAGGCTGCTGTACAAGAGTGAGAGACAAGAAGGACGCCTTTCCTCTAGAAGAAGAACCTTAAGATTCAACTGAAGTCTGCTGCTGATCACATGGACAAAGAAAAGGCCTTCTGGAGGACATTTCTGTGGTCAGATGAAACAAAAATTAAACTTATTGGCAATAATGACCAGAAATATAGAATAGAATAGAATAGAATAGAATAGAACTTTATTGATCCCTTTGGTGGAAACCTCAGGGAACATTGTTGATATGTTTGGAGTAGAGACAGTGAGGTCCTTAACCCCAAGAACACCAAACCTACCATCAATCATGGTGGTGGCATTATTCTCTGGGGCTGTTTTGGTGCCACTGGAACTGGTGCTTCAGACAAAGTAATTGGAATAAAGAAGGAGGAAGATTACCTCCACATTCCTCAGAAAAACTTAATATCATCATCCAGAAGGTTGGATCTTGTAGACAGTTGGATGGTCCAACCAGACAGTGAACCCGAACACATGTGAAATGGCTACATTAGGCTAGAATTATGGTTTTAGACTTGTCCCCTGAATTAAACCTCATCAAGAATCTGCAGACTGTGCTGAAGAAACAAGTCTGTGTCAGAAAGCCAACAAATTAAGCTAAACTGCACCAATTCTGTCAAGAGGAGAGGTCAGGATACGACCAGAAACCTACAGACAGCTACCAAAAGCACCGAGTTGAGGTGACAATGGCCAAAGGACATTTAACAAAACATTAGAATTGCTGTATATATATTTGTGACCCAGCAATTTTTTAAATGTATTTTCAGAAAACCTATAATAAATCTATGAACAAACCAAAATCCATGATTTTTTTCAGGTTTTTGTTTAGTTTAGTTTTTGTGACAGAGACATGTGGGTTTCAATGATCCCATCATAGAACATTCAGAGCTGTAGGAGTCACTGAAACCCTGAGGCCACGATGATACACATGGTCCTGTGTCCTTTGTTAATAACTGTATGTATATGGAGCTCTTAAAGTAATCTCCCACCCCTACTTAAAGTGGCTTTTATGAGATAAGAAACCTCTGTGGTGCCTTACATGTGATTTAATTTTCACACATATTTAGACACTTTGAAAGTTGAACCACATCTAAATCCTGGTCCTCGAGAGCCACAATCCTGCATGTTTTTGATGTGTCCCTCTTCCAACACACCTGATGCAAATGATCAGGATCGTCATCAGGCTTCTGCAACTGTTAATACATGAGCTGACCGTTTGAAGAAGCTTCCATTGGCCTGCAGGGGGAAACCTTGATACAGAAACACTTTCCTTTCAGCCAGTATGGCACTTCTGCTATTGCAATGTCTTTGCTCAATTACCTTGTGTACTAATTAACACTCTAGCTCTGCATGTAGTAAAACACTGTAGAAACAAAATGTACCAGTATTTGTGTATCAAGATTAATATTCCACTTTATTTTTGCTTTCATTCTTAATTTAATTGTAAGATTGTATTTCCTAAGTTCTTCTTGTATTTTTTAAAATCTCCAAAAATCATCCAAAAGTCTGTGTTTCCCAGCATTTGGGGGGAAAAAGTCACAAAAACAAACATAATTGATTTAATTGAAAATAGTGGGGTTATATATGGGTTTTTCTGAATGAAAGAGGAAAACCTTTAGTGATTTAACGCTGCCTTTTTAAACAGTTGTGGGACTCGAAAGAGGCAGATTTTAAAAAGAGCAGTCCACATCAGGGCAATAGAGGCCGTAACACCCTGGATCATGGTCCTTAGTGTGATTCACACCTTATGACTGCTGAATTCTACCCTAAGTTATCATTTCACAGCTTCTGTAGAGCCATGAAAGACTGTTTCTAGCTGCGTAGTATTTCTCACCACTCCTAAGCTGACTCTAATGTGTAATATCAGTGGAGACCCCTTTTAAAACCTTTTTTTTTCATACTAATCGGAATATTTATTCTTGGTCGGTGACACTATATGCACAAGCAAAGCAAGAACCACAGTACACATGAACTATTAAAGACCTTTAGTGAAAGCATGTGTTACATTTCAATGGTAGTCAACGACATAAAACAACATATTTGCTCAGTAAACAGTCAAAGATCAGCAGTCAGCCTGTGAAGATCCTTTCAGTAGGGGGCAGCAAAGACGGCAGTAAAAAGGTAACAGTCTGAAAATGTAAACAGCTTCTCTGTAAATACTCTAAGCTATCAATTTTCATACTTACATGATTCTTTGATTAATAAATATGAATGATACATTTCTGTCCAGAAACTAAAACGAGGATACGACTCTCAGTTAAACACGTCTGTATCATGTACAGAACCTCTCCAGGCCATGTGGTTGATCTGTTTATCATTTTTTCAAAGTTCAAAGCGATCCTGACGAGGGCCACAATTTAACGTTACCTTATTGCACTCCAGTGTGCGCACGCAAGCACCCAATGTAGTCAAGCATGTGCTGAAAGAGAAGTCATTAAAGCACAACTCACAAGTATTCATTATAAATGTAGATCAGATGTTGAAATGCTGATTCGGGCACATGGCCCACATATGGAGCAAAACCTTTCTCCAAAACAAGCCACATGAAACATTAACATTCCCAGCATGCCCTGCTCGGTCTCTGCAAAACAGACCTCAGAAATATCTTTATCTTAAGTTTGCATCTTTAAAGTGACGCATTATACATTTACTACAGGTGTAAACCAGATGGGACAGTAAAAACAGAAAAGCAGATAGTCCTCTGTGCTGTAGCTTATAGAAGTCAAAATGTGGCCAGATTGTCCCAGACCACTGTTAAGTGTCCATGGCTTCCACATGAGGGCTCCGTGAGCCAAACCACACAGCTCTCCTGGATGATGTCCACAGAAGGAAGAGGCACGGAGAAGAATCATGGATGGAAGTCAGCATTCCTCTCTCCCACTGGCCTCCATGTTTAGTAAGGTGCACGTGTGTACTGGGGGTGCTATGACTGGTAGCCATATGCTAACGCATCTAAAGGGGAAAACATTTAGACACGTTTAAAAAGGCAAGACATGGTTATTTGTGTAGCACCTTTCAACAACAAAGCCACAAAAACTGCTTTACATGGGACATGAAAACCACAAGAAAAAGAAACACAAAGCAGAACAACAGTTTTCAGTCTCCAACACAAATTCAGTCACGAGTGAACAAATGGAGTCAGTCTGGATCTCTTCATTCATGGACTTTCTCACTTACTTCAGCTGGTACTGAGACAAGCAGGAAACTTTTATTTGCCTGGATTTCGACATAATTATGTGTGATTTCTGCTTCCATTCCAATACAATGGGAGTGATTTAAATTGCATCTGCAGTGCTGACAGAAAATCAAAATTGCATTTAACAATTTAAATTTGGGGAGTTTGCATGTTCTCCCCGTGCAGCGTGAGTTCTCTCCGGGTTCTCCGGCTTCCTCCCACAGTCCAGAAACATCCATCCATCATCTCTACACCTTAATCCTCACTGGGGTCACGGGAGGCTGGAGTCTATCCCAGCTGACTCAGGGTGAAGGCAGGTTCACCTGGACAGATAACCAGTCTATCACAGGGCTACACTTAGAGACAGACAACCAAGCACACTCACATTCACACCTACGGACAATTTACAATCACCAATTAACCTCAGCATGTTTCTGGACTATGTCCGCTCCCTCCACAACAAACTGGACGAACTACGTTTGCTGAGAGAAACCCGCAGAGAGTGGAAGGACTGCTGTGTGTCTGCTTTAACAGAAACATGGCTTCATGACAGCATCCCAGACGGACATACAGCTGGAGGGAACGACATCGTTCCGGGTGGACAGACAGACAGCTAGCTCTGAACTTCTCCAGAGCTGCTGCAGTAGCAGGACTCTGAACATTGTCAGGGACTCCTCACACCTTCTCCATCGACTGTTTGAACTGCTACCATCAGGCAAACATTTCTGGAGCGTTGAAGGAAGAACCTCCAGAATGATCAACAGCTTCATTCCACCAGCTGTCAAGATGCTGAACTGCTGATCCAGATATGCAAACACTTGCTGCTTTTAGTTTTTGGATCCTGAAGAAACGCTCTGTCATCTTGTTAGCACTACTGTTGTATGTACAGCAAGGTGACAATAAACTTGATTTGATTTCATTTAGACTGGTTACCTGTCCAGGTGAACCTGCCTTCACCCTGAGTCAGCTGGGATAGACTCCAGCCCCCCACGACCCTAGTGAGGATTAAGCGGGGGATGGATGGATGGATGGATGGGTTTTCAAGAGGTTTTCTACTATTCTTGGAAAGAAACGGTGTGTTTTCAAGACTGTCAAACTACTCGCTGTATTATCCCCAGTGGCTGCAAAGACTAATTTTATGAAGTCAGTTGACTATCTAGAGCCTGTCCACACTCACCTGAATGAAACTGCGCCGTGCAACACAGTCCTTCTCCCCGTGCTGTACGGTAAATGGGTGACACGCACACTCTGGCTGAAGGGGGGAGGTGGGTGAGTCGTGTTGACAGGGAGTCGGGTGGCAAATAGAGAGAGGAGCGCTGCCCCGGGACAGAGTTCTGCAGTCCCTCCCAGGTGAGCCAGTAGCCCTTCAAACCAGCCACGCTGCCCTTCCAGTCGACCTGCACCGAGTCGCTGCCCACTGTGGTGAGCTGGAGGTCTGCCAGGGCTGGGGTCACTGCAGATGGAGACCACAGAGAAGCTAGTTAGGGTCCATTTCAAAAGGAAAGAGAGCTGAGAAGAAGTGACCTTGAATGAAAAAGAGTGAAAATGTAGAAGCTGTCGGGAAAAAAAAGTTCTTTTTTAACAGAGCTCAGTAGATTGTACTGTGACTGTTTGATTGGCTCGAGCTCCACTACCAGCCCTTGGACTAGTCAAACCTGAATGGAGCTGCCCGCAATTATCTGAAATTTAAGACATAGAAAGGAGGCTGTGCAGGAGTAGGAGAAGTGTGCAGTAAACAGATCCTTAATCGCCAAGTTTGACCCAGTTTTCCTCACATAGCTCACCTTCCTGAGTGCACACTTTGACAGACATGGCCTTCTCCTTTCCCGAGGCGTGCCGAGCACTGACGGTGACCAGGTAAGTGGTGTCTGGTTGGAGGTCTCTGAGCAGGGTAGAGTTTTGCATTCGGCCCAGTGTGACAGCGTTGACTTTGCCCCTGGGCAGGGCAGAATATTCAACGTAGTAACTTGCGACCGTCTCTGGCTGAAGAGGACCCCAACTCACCCGGACGCTGTTTTGCCCCGACTCAGAGACTGTGACCACAGCGGGGCTCATCACCTCTGGTAGGAGAGAGAGCAAAACACTTTGAAACAGTCATAGTGATATGAAGGAAATATCATTTTCACACTTCATTTTATGGGTCTGTAATTTCCTCAGTTGTTACACTTAACTAATTCCAGGTAATTACTGTCTTTATGTCTTCAGTCAACTGAATGTGCCAAAATCTGAAAATGTGTCTATAGACAAGCATGCCTAGACTAGATCATAAAATGTAAAGAAAGTCGTTAATAAATTCCCAAAAGAGTTCCAAGAGCACAAGGTGACATCTTCAAATTGTTTGTCCAAACATTCAGAACCACAAAGTTCTTAATTTACAAAAGATAAGCAGCAAATTCTCAAATTTGAGAATGTTTGCCTTTTTTACACGATAACTCTTGAAAAGATTTACTGTAAGTAGTTCAGTAAGTGCACAATGACGTGTTATGACAGACTGTAAGCCCACCTGGCTTTGTTGTGAAGGTGACGGCGAGAGTGTTAAATGCTTGTTCATTGGACTCCGGGGTTAAGGTTGCTGAATAGGTGGTATCAGGCTTCAGGCCCGTGAGCAAGGCAGTGCTTGAGTCCGCAGACTGGGTAAGTCTCTGGTACTGACTTCCACCAGTGCTCGGACTGGTCCCGGTTCCACCGCCACCTCCAGCTCCTCCGCTCACAACCGGACTAAAACGGATCTCATAGTAGCCGGTCAAACCGGACAGAACCGGCCGCCACTGGAGCGTGGCCGAGTTGGTGGAGATGTCTCGGACCTGGATTCGCTCAGCTCGGATGATTTCTGTTAGAGACGGGATAAAGAAAAATGAAGTTTGCGTGGATCTGTCAAGATTAGGCAGCAAGCTGTAATTTAGCAAACAGAAAGAGATATGATTGTGCCAAGGAAGATGGAAAGGCAGAGGGCTAAAAATGCTTTGGCTTCAGACAGCCACCCACGTAGACAGCCAGACTTGGGTTTCTAAATGCAGTCATAACCCTTGCATTAAGACAACTTGAAATAGCCAACCCAGTGAGGCCCTGCAGCAAAATCACAAATGCCACAGAGGCATTGATATCTGTGCTTAGACACCCAGCAAGGACCGGTGCATTTCTCCTTGTTGTACACAAGCCTTATTTATACTATGTGTCATGTCTTGCAGCTGCATTATAGACGGCATAAATGCTGAGGTGTCCCCTGTGAGTGTTATGGCGGTTATCTTATCCGGCTAGGGAAATGGGCAATCTTCCCAGTATATATATATATACATAGAGAGAGAGAGAATATGTATATATGTATATATATATAGAGGATGTAGCAAGGGATGTTGAATCATTAATCCATTAATAGATGGCCTATCTCGTTACAGTGACTCTTACACATGCACACAGACACGCTCAGTGTCCGACCTTCTTATTTAGCCTCACTGTCTTCAGCAGCATGTGTGGAATCAGGGAGAAGCCCAGAGGCATTCATACACTGTGCCGGAGTGGCCAGCCGCTTGTGTATTTGTAGCTGGAGCGTGTTTCTCAAAGCGACTGAACCGAATGACCAATGTAACTTTAGCTAGTTTGACCAAATTATAAAAAAATATTGTCAAACTTTCTTAATCACATTTAAACTTACCAATAATTTCATCTTTTTGTGCTGCTGTATTCAGATGTTTGTCTCTGAGATTCGGCCACCACCCTCATGCAGTACAGTGAATTAAAGGAATTTGAACTGGATGCTAAAAATAACAAAATTGCCGCCCAAACATTTTGTTATTAGAACTATACTCACCAATGATGGCGTCTCGCAGGTCTTCTGTGATGATGCTCATGTCATCAATGTCCACAAAGTACAGGTGGTTTTCCACAGGCGGACTCACCACCTGCCTCAGCACCTGATAGTTGCTGTGCCCTGTGGAGACCACCAGCACAGCCACACCCTCCTCCTGGAGCTCAGCCATTGGTCCAATCACATCCCCCGGTTTCACCCCATCTGTCAACCACACCAGCACTCTGGGGAGCCCCGCCCGAGCCCCATCTGCCGCCCCTGGTCGCAGCACCCGCTCTTTGGCCATTTTCAGTGCATCCACTGTGTTGGTGTCCCCTCTGAGAGGCTTGATGTTCGTCAAAGCCCCCTGGAGGTCACTTTGGCTGCTGTGTTTGTCAAAGCCAAATTCAAGGCGGGGCTTGGTGCCCACCTGAAGAAGTCCGATCCTCACCTGGTCCTCTCCCAGCGAAAAGGGAAGGAGGAGCTCAGATAGGAAAGCAAGCATGCGGGAGTGCTCGTAGGACGACACGCTGCCAGAGGAATCCACCAAGAAGAGGACATCCCCCTCGCAGCAGTTCAGCGCTGTGGGGGGAAAACAGAGATAATTAATATGCAAATCATGTAGACAAATTCAGTATGCGCTGCCTTTTGATGCTGGTATGGGAGCTACAGTCGTCCTCTAATGTATTCATCCTCTTCCATTAAAGAAAAGGCTAAATTCACATTAGTCACTCAAATAACTAGAAACTGAAAAAAGTAATAATAAATAAAAATTTGCTAAAATATAATTTAGTGAAATAAGATGTTGCTTTTAAATTGTGGTTGAAAAGAATAATTTTAAAAAACAAACAAACAAACAAAATGTTCCAGACAAATGAGAGCCCTTTGCTGATGAGCAGTGGGCCAAAATACCTGTCAGCAGGTGCAGAAGTCTGATTGGGAGTTACAGAAAACACCTGATGATGGCAGTGATTGGCTCAAAGGGTTGTTCAACAGAATATTAGTTTATGGGTCCCATCATGCTTGTTTTTTTCTTTGTTTTTAATATTTCTGTTGAACCACAATTCAAAAGCAACATCATGACTTCCACTAAATTTTTATTTATTACTACTTTTGTCAATTTCAGCTTATTTAACTGAAGCTGTTGTTTTTCCTCTTTAATGGGAGGACGCCTGTATATACACCTCCTTTCCTTTTCAGCTCCACAGATTTTTCCACACGTCTCCTCGTATGCTTCCCTCACACACATATTTGGAATCTCCTTCTTGGCACAGCACAGTCTCACAGTGACGACAACTCATAGAGAATATGGTCAGCACCAAAGCAGCAGAAAGTCAGCAGCAAAAAAACAAACAAGCGATTGTCGTGCAGATAGGCAGAAATCAAAACCGGCGGGGGAACTACGCAGTGTGGCTGGCATCGTGATAACTTAGACGATGGATGAAAGGCTTCGTGCGCTGAGCCAGAGGGTGGAGGTTTTTCTCCCCTCAATTTTCCACATTTCTTCACGGGAACCAAGGTTGAACAGCGAATGGTGAAAGCGAAGGACAAAAAGGGAGAGAAAACAGTAGCCAGTGGGAGAGGGAGTGGAGAAAGGAGGAGGGACAAGGGGAAATAAAAGGCATTAAAGGAGCAGGAATGAGGTGGGGGGGTACTGGCAGTTCCATGTGAGAGACCAGGAGGAATGTTGGATGGCCATAAGGAGAGCAGAGTAAAGACGAAAAGCAGCAGCACAGGCTGAATCTAAAAGTAATATTGAGTGTCAGATCTTCAGATTGAGGGATAAAGGCCCGCTATTAAAAGCTCACATTGAGGTTGAGGGAGGCAAGAAAAACAAACTTGTAAGAGACAGACACAGTGAGGGATGAAGAGCATGGGCTGCCACTAGATTAGGCTCACTTGATATTATTGCAAATGCAGGCAAAGAACTGTCACCCTGACACCTTTGGAAGCTCCTATTTTCTTTGGCTGCCTCTTGTTTTCAAGGGTTCTACACATGAGATGAGGTGCTGATAAGACTCTGAGGTGTTGAACATTGAGGAAGCAGTGAAACGTGTGTGTTCACACACAAATCAAACATGTGCACACTCGCTGTCTGTCTCCACATCAGCCTGAAGAATTCTTTCTTGTTAGTTGGACTTTGGGTTGCGATACTGAGCAGCCCCCTGCAGGTATGTCTTTATCTAAAAGCCATATGTCACCGTCTGGAGATAGCCGTCTGACTGTTTATCTAGTGAAAAGACGTGTTTCAGTGCAACCTGCTGTTATCCTCAGCACGATAAATCTCAGTTATTGGTGCATTGTTAGTGCTCGATGTTGGAAAAAACCTCACGTGGCCGAGAACATATTGCAGAAAATCACAACTGACTACTACTCCCCACCCTCGCACATCAACAAAATCACTAAGGACCTGGAGGAGGGATAATTATGAGCAACACTTTACAACTGAGCTGAAACACCGAAGGGAGCAGAGCAGGTCTCGCATCACATATGGGTATGTTAGGCGTCCAACTTGTACACAATAAATCCTGAGCAGCAGAGGTTTTGTGGGCTGGATTTGTAGAAAAGTAGCATACATGTGAGGACCACACACAACAGAAGACAGATATAAACATATGTGCTGCAGAAGATGAGAAGAGAATCATCACACTGTTGAGCATCCAACATATTTTATAATTGTGACAAAACTGTGATCTTAGTATCGACCAAAACAACTGTTTATTGTGATAACCATAGTCGTTCAGTCCAAGTCAGTTGCACAAAAGAACAAGTTGACCAAAAACAGGTTCTCTGTCAGCAGAGTCTTGCAACTGTCGCCACCACATGAGGCAACATGAGTGAAGTGTTTGACCTTTTAAATCAGCTCTACAAAGCTCTGTATGATAAGTCAGAACTGGATGCCTTCCAAAGCAAAAAATAAATGAATAAATACTATTTCAGGTGCCTTTACCAGTTCCAAACAGTCTTCAGAGTAAAGGGGCATTTTGCATCTTTTTAAATTATTTTCAGTATATTATTATTTTCATTGCAGATACACTCCCCTACAAAACAACCCCAATCATTCTAAAACGGTTAATTCTTTCTAAATAGTTGTTCAAGTCATCTGGTTAAAAAAATAAATAAATAATACCGTAAATGTATATCACAGAAAAACAAAATGTCAGAATGCCAGCTTTTTCCAACATCGTGCAGATCTGCTAATATAAAAATGTAGCTCATCTTTCTGTGGACGATCTTTATTTAAGAAGGATGACAATATATCCAGCAAATACATTTATAAAAAGCCCAGTGACTGCAAGCTAGGCTGCCTTATCGGATGTCTATTAATGGAGACAGCAAAGCACAGCATCTCACTGTCTCTTATGCAAACACAGTCCCAAAAACAAAGAAGCCAGTCTACGGACACCAAGTGAAGCCGCTCCGGCACTTCTTGGTCATGAGACCGACCCCAGGGCACAAAGGCACCGCCGAGATAACAGATGATAACATCTGTTTTGTTGTGTTTGAGAAACAAACTGCAAAAATCTGTAGCTACTGAACAGAACTGATAAGAAGAAACATCATGTGTTAGTACCAAAATAAACTCAGTGCACAACAAAGACTTGATCATATTTATATCCCTCATGGGGGACTTTTATAACACAGAATTTTTGCTCTCTGTTTTCTTTAACCTTTTGATTGTGAATGAAATTAGAACAGTTTCCATTAGAGCTGGAGGCTGCTTTGTTTTTGCCTCAGAAACCACTCCTCTGAAGCGGAGAGATTTCATCACCTGACAATAATGCAGGAGTTCAGCCCTTTTTGGGACTGATATGTGGAGCACCTGAAGCTCTCCGCATCAGGTCCCCTGGGTGGTCCCTGGATGTCCCTGGTATTGGGAACTATTGCCCCAGGCTGTTGGATTTCATCATTTGGTTATTCATTACCTGGACTCATGCCATTTCACTGAGAACACTGGCGTAATATGAACCCCACCCTGATCCACCCCAGACAGTCCCTGTAGCTGCCTCAGTCCTAATGGGAGTCACTGCACCTCATATTAATTCAGTTTAATTTAACAAAATCATTACTAGCTGGTTAAAGAGTGATCAAGCTGGGAAGCCTATTACTAGTTTAAATCCCCTTTAGTGTCGGTCTGTGACACCTTCCTCTATAATAAAACCAACACATCTCAGATTTGGGTTCCACTGTACCAGTACCTTACCTCCTTCTGGTGGCGGGTTCTGTGCAGCTGACGGCCGCAGGAGCAAACACAGCAGCATCCACGTGAACGACATCTGGCCCTCCATCACGATGCTTATGAATTAGTTCCACTGGTGCAAAAATATATCACAAATGCTTCTGGAGTCAACCATACATCCAGGCAGCCCGGAGGAGCGCACTCCCACTCACCGAACCTCAGGCAGAAGCATGATTTCTGGGAGTCACATCCAGCCAGGCTTCTTATCTTCCTGCTTCACTGAGCATGATCAGTAACTGGACACTCTGGGGGTTCAACGCAAACTGAAGGCAAAACTTCAAACCGTGTGCGCAAACTTTGGACACTCCTCGCAAATGCGCTCCGCTCGCGCTCAGGACATGTAAAGTCAGCATGAAGAGCCAAGACAAGCTTTCCGGGATTCGTTTTCACAATAAGACTCAAATCTTATCTTTGAAAACTGCGATTTAATCTGCCAAAATACACTTGACTGGAGCGTGAATGTTGTCTCAGAGGATCCGGGTGTTTATGATGACTGAGAGATAAAACCCTGGCTCAGCGCCAGCGTGTGATCCTCAGTCAGACATCAGGGGGGATCATGTTCATCTGAACTGCTGGAAGTTCACCTCCTGAACTACAAGTTTTTTTTTTTAATGAAATAAAAATGTAAATGCAGCTCTGATAGAGAAAGTCATAGAAGGTTTTATAGAAATACATCTAAAGCTGGGAGCAGAAGGCTGAGCTGTCAGAGGAACACCAGATCCTGTGTTCCTGAAGGCATCGCTGCTGTGCCATCACTCTCAGTTTAAAGAACCATTTCTGCTGCACTTACAATTTTCCTTAGCAAACAGACTTAAACTGAAAATAAACGAGAAAAAGGAGCATGACAGGATTCATAAGAGGACATTACAAATATATTTTTAAGTGTTTATGGGGGTGGGGGGGTGTTAAAGGTTTATTGTTAGTACCATAAATGTTCAATGTGTCACACTGATTCATCAACACAAAGCTTTAGTCACAGACTGAAGTCTCTATTTAAAGATACATGAAAGCTAGTGCACTTTAATTTGGACTGAGGCCAGGTCCATCGGCTTTAAATAGGTGACTGTTGGCAAGTTTGGTCCATGCCGACCATAAACTGACTGTTAAAAATGACTCACGATAAGATAAATGAACCCAGTTTGCAGGGAGCTTAACTGCATCCAGCAACAGGCTTCTGTTGTCTACAGGAAAAGGTTAAACATTTTATTTCTGTCGTTCTGGTGAGAAAAGCTTTTTAATTTTAATTTTGAGCTGTTCAACTGGTGACACATTTCTCTACCACAGAGTTCATCCACACGATGCGTCATAACATCCATGATCTTGTAGAAATGCTTTGTTTTCTCAAACATGCCTAAGAATGATGACTGCATGTTATCAGCAGCTCTTAAATGACAGCAGTGTTCTTAAAACATGGATCAAACCAGTCAGTTTATCACCACTGGAACAGCTGATGAAAGGCTTGCTTTATTTTGAAGGTGGGCTTACTTCACCTCTCCTCTGGTTTCTGGTGCTTGACACCACAGCTCCGTGTCTGGTTAAGTTTCTCATTCCTCCCTTCTCTCTCCAGTCTCCTCAGTAACTCAGAATAGTAAGTAGGTTCACCATTCAGGCGTCACCTCACTGAATCTGAACCAGAATTAGATTTACGTCTTCAAGTTACTCCATTAGCAGGGATTGAAAACTGGGAACCCATCAAAAGCATTTTTTAGGGCCACATATACTGGACACCAGAGGGAAGAGCAGCTGAGCTTCACTGGAATCAAGAGCATGCATTGATGCATTTCTCCAACAAACTACATGTTGTTGGGCCATCTTTTTAGCTGTTCTACATTATTGCATTTGTCCTCACAGACTGCAAGTAATGTTTTTATATTTGCACGCAATATTTTTGGAACACTTATCGGGGTAGAAACAACCAAGAATGTCAGTTATCCAAGAGATTAAGGAAACCGCTGGTTCACCAAGAGAGACCGCAGATACTTTCAGCATTTAAAACCGCTGGGAGTAAATCTCCGAAATTATACAGCACTTAGTCTTAGAGAAGAAAAAGGTAAACAGCTGAGTGTGTAGGCCGCTCTCTGCAGTCACCCGCTCAGTCCTTTACATGAAGTAATACAGCAAGTGGGCAATTAGGTGTTGGCCTGAGCGGAGTCACATATGACCTTGTGTCTGATTCAGCATGGAAACTATTAATACTGTTTGTGTGTGTGTGAGAGAGAGAAAGAGAGGCACACACACACAAACAAAGAAGAAACAAGCTCGTAGGAGGGAATAAATGGAAGGAAGAGGATGTAAGAATTCAAGTGGGACCAAACAAAGATCTGGATTTCTCCGTGACGCATCGTGTCCAAATACTTGTATTATTCCAGCGAGACACCGACAACAAACACACCCTGAGCAAATACATGAACTAGTAAGTAAATGTTATCAGTACAGTGTAGTCGGTGACTAAGAGGAATTATGATGCATGCTATGTTACATCTATATTTCACTGTGATCATCTATAAAAATAGTATGATGAAGAGGATGATGTGAAGTACAAGCACCTAATTTTACTGGTGACAGGTGAGTCACTCTGTTCTACATCTAAAAGAACAGCCATGATGTTTATGTCACTGACCATCCATCCATTCATCCATCCATCTATTATCTCTACACCTTAATCCTCACCAGGGTTGCGGGGGGCTGGAGTCTATCCCAGCTGACTCAGGGTGAAGGCAGGTTCACCTGGACAGGTAACCAGTCTATCACAGGGCTACACTTAGAGACAGACAACCAAGCACACTCACATTCACACCTACAGACAATTTACAATCACCAATTAACCTCAGCATGTTTCTGGACTGTGGGAGGAAGCTGGAGAACCTGGAGAGAACCCACGCTGCACGGGGAGAACATGGAGACTCCACACAGGAAGATCTCAGGTGTCCTCACCGGTGACCTTCTAGTTGTGAGGTTACCGTACAGCCCCATTTACAGACATGCAACATTAATTTATCTGTGATCTGTGCGTACCTCCCCCTCCAGAGCTGAACAGGTTCCTACACGTACAGCACCCTTGAATCTCCTGGTCACGGATCATGTGCTGGGTATCACTACAGATGGGACTTCTTGTACTATTTTCTTTTCTTTTTTTTGCAGCGTAATCAGTGAGCTGTAAATCAGTTCTATACACCCACAGCACCCTCCACCTGGAGCAACTTGGCACTGATATGTGTGTGTGTGTGGGTGCAGTAAATAGCTAAACATGCATGTGCACAGAGCATACCATGACCTTATATTGTTTGAAAGAGTGCTCACATAAACTCACTTCTCGCCCTGTCAGGGATCTGACATTGTGCTGAAATCCACAGACGCTAGCAGCTGTTTCCAGCCAGCCTGGCCTCGTGTCAGCGCGCTGTCTCCACCATCACAATGTCAGATTATGCAACCTGAACGATGATCTGTTTCTGCTCATCTTTACATACCATAAAGCTCCTGCAGGGATAACAAGTAAAAGTCTTGCAGGAGGGAAGAAGCTCAGTAAACTGGATGTTTTTGCTCTGGCGAGGCAGCAGCAGGGTGGAGAGGCGAAAAACAGTGAGATGTCACTGAGGCAATGGAAGAGTTTACGACATTTGGTTCATCACAACATGGGTGTGATAACAGAAAACACAGCACACCCTTTGGGATGGAGTTGAACCACTGTGCAAGCAGCTGGAGCGAGCGCCTCTTGAACAGTCACTTGTAAATGTGACCAATAACAGCAGCCTCGTTGTAATGACCCATTAAAATGTTTGGCTGCAGAGGATTTGGCTGCATGTTGGAATGCTACTGTTGGTGGTTAGTCAGTTCCACAGATCTATATTTGCCTGTGTTTTCCTTCTTTTTGCCACTCTGTGGAATTTGAGGCTTGGTTTACAGCGAGCCATGGCTTTTGTGCAGATTTGAGGAAGAAATGTTGCCTCCCCTCAGTGAGAGAACCTGCATCACAAAGCTACAGGAGATGGACAGATAGAGGCTGGATGAGGCTTATTATGGAGAAACGGCTGAGGGAGAGGAATGAAGGCACTGCAGGTAGAGAGTGATGGATGAGTAGGACCGGTCCAAGAGGTTCTGGATAAGAGCCAAAAACAGGATAAAAATTTAGCATAATGAACATTTGGGACTTTCAAGCAAACAGAAGCAGCTCCAATGTTGTGTGGAGCTGAGAGCGCTCGCTGCCTCCTGCATGGCGCGTTTTGCCATGACACATAAATAACCGGTCTTAAACTAAAAATACAGACAGGAAAGTCAGAGGTACTTCCCGTCACTGAGAAGCGCAGACGACCAGAAATGTGCCAAGTATCCACTGCCTTCCTGACGAGCACAGACCCTCCGGTTCTGCGTCAGTGGTACTTTCCTGCGTCCACTGATCAGCATCCTGTGCACGGCGTCTCTTGGCTTTTGATCTGTGTGAAGGAATTCTCCAAACTTTCAACTTCTAGAGCATATTTTAGTTTTAAACTCCAGCAGCAAGTGTTTACATTCAACCTCAGCCACAAAATGCAGATTAAATGTTGGTGCCTCAGGATGCTGCCTTGATGATAAACTGTTGATATCGCGATGTGTTCCAAGGATCCAAGGAAATCCTCAATCTCTGCTTTTCCTAAACAAATATGACAAGTTACATTAAACACAAGCAACCATGCAGTTGGCCGGGCAGGAGTGCATTTCACAGAATAAATCAGAGTGTGTATTTAAAGTTCTGGACAGAAGCATCCCATGTCTGCTCATTATCTGGGAGTAGAGCTGGTTACAGCGGGAACAATCTCACTCTTCAGAACATCTGTTTTGCAATAATCGACAGCCACCGAGTCTCTGCGCTGGTGAGGCCAACACCCACTGCAAGTTTCCACAGTAAAATGTAACGGGGCGCCTCGGGTTCTGCCAGGTTGGGCCGGTGGTGGTTCCCTCTGTAGCTGGCTCAGCTCCACGTGAGAGGTCTGATCAGACAATAGTCCCATTGTGTTGAGGGTTGGCAGGAGGACTGATAGGACAAGTTGGATAAACTTTTCTTGATGGTGCAGGGCCCAAGATCTGATAGCATCTACCTGGAAAAAATAAAAAACCCCATGACTTCAGACCTGAATGAACATTTTATGGGTAACAACAGCACATCAGGGTTAGACTCCAACCTCTAACCAGTCAGAAATCCTCATTCAGTATGTCTAAATACTCTTACTGACACACTGAGAACTTTGCTTTGTTGACTATAGTGCAAAAAAAAGAAAAAAGGAAATTCCATTCACAGCTTCAGTGTTCTCTTGT